CTAAAGAAATAAGATTAGGAACCTTGCACGCACGGCGATATAAAATAAATAAAAATCACGATAAAAACAACTAGTATTAAGTATAAATCGACGCTCACAGCAACAAAGTATACCTACTAGTAGAGTGATGTATAACTTTAGGCTTAAGATATTAAAACTCGAAAAAGCTTTGTTCCGTTTTGAATGAAAATAAACTAAAAAATATAACAAGAACAGTGCATGTTAATTTAATTAATTAAGTAATTAATTTACAGAGTCAATGTGATACTTTATTGAAAAAATGTGTCAAACCGTTAAAGAAACTCGTAAAATAGAAGAGCGTGTTTCTAGTATAATTAAGTACAGTAGTACCTAATAGTCGGAATCGTGATGAAACAAAATGGCGGCCATAAAAATCGCCCATTTAAAATCACCTTTAAAATGTATGAATATTAACAATGATTATTTCACAGTATTGACTGAGCAAAACTAAAGCTTATTGTACTTATAAAGCCGCCTAACTCTCTCTATAGGTGTTTATGGAATGAATCAAAATTTCACCATTTCAACGAATTTTCATCTAAGTAAGTAAGTGAATTTTCCAAACAAGCGTACAGAAAAAATTATGAAACTTATCGTTATATAAGTTATATTGTTTTACAATAGCGTAGCAACATGTAGCACAACTGAATTTTGGACATACCCTCTTCTCAGCTTCACCGTCGCTTTCATTAGAGTTAAAATCACTATTGTGTTCGGGTTCCTCTTTTATTTTCATCTCAAATCCAGCCATTACACTTTTATTTAGTATTGACCGTTTAGATAAAAAGCTACCAGCTTTTCTTTCAAAATCTCAGACGATAAATCTGGGTAAAATTGCATCAAAGCTTCACTTAGCTTCGCCAAGGTCTGGGGTGCAAGATGCTTGTTCAAGTTAAGAAAATTTCGATGATCAAGAAAAGTCTGCATAAAGTGAAATCTCATTTTTGAACCTGTTTTCCATGCTTCTAATCACTTAATCCGGAACAGCATTGTGGACACCAATTTTATACTTTTTCTCCGGTCTTGAATTGGATTGTCTTCTAAAGTTTTTTCAGCCATCCGCTTCTTTTTCCGAATTCGCTCTGCCTTCAGAGAATTAATGCACCAAAATGCTGCAACCTGTTCCTTCTAAGTCTTCGTTGGCAATGCAGCGAAGTTGACAGCTTTCTCTTTTGGACTATTGAAGTAATTTCTTATGCTTTTTAAATTTTAAAAAATTCTATTACCATTCTGTGCGATATCACAATTTCAAGTCCTTTTGTCTGGAGGTACTTAATTAGTAATAGCAATAGCAAAAACAGACTTACTACTTTACGTGGACGAGTGCAAAATAACTTGAAAACAAGAAGACTTCATTTTATGTTATATTATTTATTTATTTATTGTTATATATATATATATATATATACATATATACATATATATATTAATAGTCCAGCGGGCCTACCAGTGGTTAAAACTGTAGGACAGGCCCGGTGATTACACTGACTGCTGTTATGGCCAGTCCGCCTCTGCTCCAAGCTCAAATCTCTGCCACCCCTTCGCCTTCTCATTTTCATAATCCTGAAGTGACAATTGTATACGAGATAAAATTCATTTTACAGTCATTTAGGAATATTTCAAGGCTTTATCGTAGAAAACTGATAAAACATGTTAAATGTTTAACAATAAATATTATAATTTTGAACTGGATGCATATCTGTGCGTGTATATATATAAGATTAGACGTTTCCTCAGTATCAGTTGTATCTATAATATAAATATAGAACTTCACTACCAAATTTTATGAACAAGAATGATTATACCGAAAAAATTAATTATAGTTAGATGTATTATTCAATCAGACTTTGAGAACATAAAAAGAAGGTTTACCTTCCGAAAACGCTGATTTTCGTGTTTCGCATTTCATCAATTCTTTTGTCCAATGTGATTTCTTAGCAACATGTACGAATACATTGTTAATATACGCTTTCGCAAGTGGAATTTTCAAGCACAGGCCGTGTTTCGATATTAGTATTTCAAAATAAATGGCCTCTTAGATGACTCGTGAGCCGAGCGGCCTGGTCAGAAATCCATAATATTCAGGTAAAGCTATCACTTATTTAGAACTGTTGGCCAGAGGGAGAGGGAGTAACAGTCAGCAGTACCCACTGAGGTTACTCTTAATTATCACAGTTATAACGCTCCCACAGCTAAAAGTACGGAGCGTGTTCGGCGGCATGTCGCGGCTCGATCCTTGGACCTTCCGATACGTAGCTAGGCATGTTAACCACTGGACCACACCAAGCCCCATCTTAACATAAATAGATACAATGATTACATGTAACTTTGGAACATCCTACTTGAGATCTAGTAGCATGTTCCCCCCTGTATAAATGCACAGATACAATTAAAATTGATGTAAATGAAAACCAGTTGTGCGGTCAACGTTTCGGGACTGATGAAGATCGTTTGGCCGAAGCATTGGCCAAATGGTTAGATTTTCTTTATAGAACTTTTAATCATATCTTTGTATTTTCAGGATTTATTACTCTGTATTTGAATTTGTTTGTTACTTGTGTCTCCGTTTAAGTACTTTGGTATAGTCCTTAGTTTTCTTGTTTTTTAATTTTTAAACGAGGGCAAAATTGCGCTAGCCGTCCTTAATTTTAAAGTGATAAATTTGATGGAAGGAAGCTAGTCAGTATTATCAGTTGCCAACTCTTGTGTTTTTCTAGTAAGATCGAATAATGGGATTTGATCATCACTCTTATAATGCACTCACTGCCCCAATGTGCGAAGCATGATTTATTTTTGGGCATTAACGAGATGCGAACCACGGAACCTCATCCCACGATTATAAGAACCTCATTTTTTTTAAAAATCTGTAACAGGTTCTTTACGTTTTCTATTTGTATTTGAAGAAGGCAGATAAATGATTGTGTGATTAAACATATAGACATCATAACTTCTAATGACAAATTTAACACCACCAACATTCATCAGCGTATATAAAAGAGTTGATTAATTTTGGAAGGGTGTGAAAATTCCTTCAACTGTTTCATTTTATTGAAATAAGATTAATAATCAAGCCCCATAGCAACAACTTGATCGTCGTTAATTTTAAGAAAAAAGTTGGAGTAGAGTGTGAATATTTGAACGCAGAAATCACAAATAGAATATTAAAACTTCTATAAGAAACATTAACACCAATTTCAGTGTTTGTATTTTATGGCTCAGTTAAAAACTTAAATTACCGTATATTATTCAGAAGTAAATGCATTTGAAAGAGAAATGAACTTAAAAAGCTCTCGGCCCAAAACTCAATTAATGTAATAACATTCATCCTTATTTTGTTGTTAATTTCTTTTCTTCACCAGTACGTGAATTTCAGTGAAGAAAAGTTGATGTAGATGCCTAACTTATTATTTGATTCGCTATTCCCGCTACATAGATTAGACCTTCATATCGTTATGACAGCGGAGGCCACGTGAATCTAGTAACACGCCACGCGCTTCTACAACGTTCATGAAGCGTCGGGAGACTACTAGATATGGGGTAGTCTTGTATATATAAGACCGGCCAAGAAGCGACGGGAACGATGTAACAATGTGTAATTGAACTGCGGACAGAGTATTGTTGAGTTGAGCACGTGAGACGTTCGTTGTGAATTATAGCGTTTTTTATAGCGAGACTGTGGAAATTAAGTGTATTGCAAAGTTGTATTCAGAAAGAATAAACCAGTTTTACTTAAGAAAGGACTTGTGTCGCTAAAGTTTCGTCGCAACGAAATTTACGGAAAATTAACTAACGAACGGAGGCGTAACAATATAAAATTTTCTTTACAGAATTTCACGTTTTGGTGAAGAAAACAAATGAAAAAATAAATAAATAACCAGTTAGTATATTGAGTAATAGTGGATAATTGTCACATGTTATCCAATCACCTAAAGTAATTTAGATTATTAATAATGAGTAGAGGACTACACATCTTAATCAAACATTCGCCTTTGTCAACTTATAATGTTATCTCTATTATTTTTCTTTTGTTCTAATAAATATAAATTTCATAACATTTTATCTTGTTTTAGTTCAAATAGATCTTTATATTACACATATCACATGATCAAATTTTAAGTAGCATTAAACAATAATTTATATCATCTTATTTACTACAAGGTTGGCCCTTTTGTAGTGTTCTGGATTTCAGAACTGACAAAGCTGGTTCAAATCCGTGAGATACCACGAACTATTCCTTGCGCTTTAAGACGTAAGTACGTTATAAGAGAGACAGACAATCCATTAATTAGCGCTGATGATGGATGATAGTGTATTGCTGATCGAATGCCTTTCCTTTGGTCAAGAGTTCAAAATTAACGGCGGCAGCTGACAGACTTAGTAGTTTTGCCGTACTTTATTTTTTCAGTTCATTAATGATAATAATGGGGACATGTATTACCGAAGGGCTGAAATTATTTAAATACTATTCCTTTGAAAATTGTAAAATCATAATATTTGTGTCACCAGTAAAGTTTTAGTTGCTCGCGACAATTTACCACCAATAGTCTGTGCCTTCTATGATGTCTATGGTTTGTGATATGGACTATTCACACTCATTTAAAATCAATTTGGTGGCATCACGAATGACTGCAATCTCTATAGTTTGACGTCAACCTGTGCGCGTGCTGTCAATAATAATGTAGGAGAAAGACAAATTAAAGATATGAACTGAAGGGAACGATTTTTATCTATCTATGGTCTTTATAAATTAAAATTAATTATTATTTTGCATTTAATTTTAGTGGTGTATTCCTTACAAAGAAAAATAATCAATATATATATATATATGTGTGTGTGTGTGTTTGTTTGTGTCTGTGCCAGCATCGGTAAGCGCATGCTCACTTTCTCGTTTCTAATCCTTCTTTCTTAAGGTCACTGTGATTGGCTTTAATGTCACATTTAATAGTTTGTAAGCCAATTGCTAGGACGATAACTTAACTCTGTAGTAAAAAGGCTGCGATCACTGGAGGATCATGGGAAATAAAAGTGTTTTGTCATAGAAGGAGAAGGGGTGTGTTAACTAGAATTTTATCGAAAGGTTTTACAAGTTTTACTAAAAGTGTTGAAAATACTTAATGTAAGAATGAAAAGCTATATCGTTTTTGCGTTATTCTTGATAGCATCATTATCTAGAGACAGTGTTGGATATGTGGAGGTTGGTATTCTTTCAAAAATATAAATGTTTTTTCACATGTGCATATAATAATGGGCCCTATATTAATAAGTTAGTAGTTAGTCCCACCAAAGCTAGCTTGTTCTCAGTAGTAGGATTAAACTTAACCTACAAAATTGTAAGTTGGGGGTTGCCAAGGTGTACCAACCGAAAGACCTTGTTCATTGTTTTGCAGCTGTTCATTCGAGGCCATCATGAAGGATAACAGCGTAGCTAATCTGTTCACATTTAAGAATTTAATAATTAAACCTGATTTTTACACTATTTCAGAGTTTAGACTTAAGTTAAAATTAGTGGTTATTACAAGTACTGCAGAGTATTTGTAATTTTTCCATTTGTCAGATGAACATTAAGCTTTATCACACTGTGTGATGTTTTGGTTATTTGCGACCCTGTGTTAGGTACAAGTTATTCTTAATCAGTATAGAACTTATAAATAAGAATTAACCCTAACCTTATGAGCTTAGAACCTCAATTTCTCTCTGCCCTAGCCCGTGAAATTAAAGTTTAAGTATATGAAGCTTAGTTTTATTCTTTCAGTTTGCCCTCATATAGGGATACTGATGAGGGGTGGATTTGGCTTCACATTTATTTTTTAAAATTGGATTGTGAATAGTAGGATTTACTCAACTAATAAGTAATACATCTTTCATACTTATTGTAAATCCCATTACCTAAATTTCAGTCTTAGGATCTGCATGCATCAGTTTTGCCATGTACATAATCTAGACTAGAGCATAAAATTATGAATTTAATCAACCATCTATGCAGTACAAGTTGTTTAGATTCAATTGGCTTTTGAATTTGGAAAATGTCTTATTGCTCATACTGACATGATTATACTTATTAATCTCATTCATTTTCACATTCTGTAATTTGTAATTGTATGTTTTATATCTTTGTATTATTTCATTTTTGATATTTTTATAAATAATATTTATCATGCTGATTTAACATCTTGCAGCAGCAGCAATTGAAACAGTTATTCTTCGAAAGATGTTTTTTTTACTTATTAGGATTATTAAAAACAAAACCTGTTTAAAAAAAGCAATTGTTATTTCTATTGCTAAACACATTTTTTTCTGTAATATTTGAAAAATCTTGCACTTGTAATTCTATTCATAATCTTTGACAGAGGATAAGAATTTTGTAAAACAATCTTCTCTTCCCTTTTGAATTCTCTGCTAAAGCTATAAAATATCTTAGAAATGTAGAATTAAGTAACACCTTGGTGAAGCTGGGAAAAGAATAACTGTACAGTATTTGATATAGAAGTTAAGGAATTGAAAACTGGTTCAATAATTGTTTGCATTTACTCATTTTGTCTTTCTTTTCACTATTAATATCATTATATTCATAGCATTAAATTGTAGTTTTAACAATGCTTTTTAACTGTCATTCCTAATATTCTGGCTATCATTTTATTTTAAGTATGACAGCCATCTGTTTTGAATCAATGGACTTGCAAAGAAAATTTTTAATTGTTATATGTGTGACAGCAGTAGGGAATTCAAAAATATTTTTCTTATCATGTAAATAATAAATAAATGGTCTTTCCCTGTGTTTATATAAAATATGGTAATTTGAGAAATTCCAGAGTTAAATAACATTGAGGCTTACGTTCTGCTTCTGTAATTTTCTAAATTTGGCAAGATCTTCAACATTCTACATGCATACTGGATGGAATAAAATGATAAAGTATTATGATTATGAGATCAAGCAGAGTATGAAGGAAGGTAGTCTGTTCACTTTTTATATTGCCTCTAAGTGTGTTTGTCTAAGATTTATAGATGTCTGAATTCTGTGTTTTTACTAATGCTCTTATTGTTGTCTAAAATGTTTTCTAGGCTGTTGCTGGAAACATAGATGCTTCCCTAAATCATTTTCAACCTATGGTAGCCATACTTTGTGGTCATGGAAAAATTCACAGGAAGTATCTTAGTGAAAACCTTCGATGGGTTACCAGCAAAGGTGACCAGAAAGGATTTTGTACTAAGGACAAACTTGAAGTTCTAGAATATTGTCGCAAGGTAATAATGTAAAACAATTCAGTGTTACAGTTATTGAAGATAAAATTTTCTCTTTATATTTTTGTTAATGTAAAACAGATTTATATGTAAAAAATAATATTTTAATTTTTTACAAAAAGAAGTATTTGTTAACATTCTTTTGTGTTAGAATTATGTAGCAGGTTTTGACAATAGCATTTGGTTATTTGACATTGTACAACCAAAAGTTAGATCATTGACACCAATATAAATGTCAGCTGTTTTACTATGAGAAAAATATGTTGTAAAAGGTGCTGAAATTTGTTTATATACAAGTTTACTTTGCTTTGTTTGACTGACATTTGAATTTGTAAGGGAGATTATACTTTAATGAACCAAAAATATTTGTAATGCTTGGCACATTACCCTTACAGTCTTGCATAAGTATTATCTATATATCTTGTTGGTTTTATGAGAAATATGAAGCAAAAAACATTGTAAGTTAAATATTTTTACAATAGCATGATCACTAGGGTGATCCTTATTTTTGAAGTTTTGATTTACAACACTTTCACCTCCTTGTTTTGTTTTAGCATATAAAAAGTAATTCACACCAAATTTTATCATATTGAATAACATTTAGAGGTTGCTCTAGGTAGTAGTTGAAATGCTACCTTGTAGCTTGCATTATATCTGAATATTCTAGAATGTTTAAGAATATTCTAAATAATTATGGAAGGTTCTAGATTTTTCTGGAATGTTCTAGCATATTTTTATGGAATATTCTGCAATATTATGGAACATTCCAGACTATTCCACATTATTCAGAATGTTCAAGAACATTCCATATATAAGTAATTCATGAAATAATTTTTTTACTTCTAGAATATTCTGTATGAAACTATAGTAGTTTCTAGGTCAGCCAACCTAGAGATGATTATTAGGAGCTTCTTGAACTAGCCATAACTTTTCTTGGTAGGATCCCTCTTCCTAGAGTGCGAGTTATAGCACCTAGAACACTGCATGATGGATAGTCAAGGCATTATATGACCTAAAGATCTGGATGTTTATGGGACAGTTTTTAGCTCACTGTACATATGGAAAGAAGACTCTGTGACACGTGAATCTTTGTATGAGTTTATCTTAGGGCATGGTTCACAGCTTCTTATGCCATTTCTGCTCCTCTTCTCACAATGATTTTAACTTCCTATAATGTCTTGTTAAGTATAAGAAAGTAAATTATGACCTTTCATAATCTGCCTATCAGATATTTGCTGGACATCTATGGCATCTCTGTGAGAAATTCATTGGTTTGGAATTTTTTGATTCTGCTGTATCTGCAGAGACAAAAGCAATGATAAAAGCACTAAATGAAAAGGAAGACATGGATGAACCTCCAAAATATTAGGAACTCTGAGAATATGTCAATTGAAGATTTTTGTTGCAAAGAACACAACAAACTTCTTAAGGTGCCTCAAAATTCCATATCACTTCTTGGATCATGACCCCGAATCATGGGAGCTCAGAAAAGTTTAAAGGGAGGCACAACAGACAATTTAACACTTGAATGTGGTAAATGACAATGACGGAAGGGGTGTGACCCTTATGAAGTCGTATGATGCCATCATAACAAATAAAGGAGAACAGAAACAATTCCTACTTCAAGTGGTGCAGAATCACAGAAGATGCTTTCTCATCAGCAGGAAGGAAACAATGCAAAAGTGACTAACCATACCAAAATCATATAACTGTAATTATACTATTGAGCATGCAATAAAATAATATTACACTTTAAATAAATCATTTATAATCCATAAATATGTTGTATATCACACAGTACATACAATACCAGGCCACTGCAATATAGAAATTCAACCTCTAAATATGGTCCAAAATGGATGAAATTTGACATTTAATATTTTTTGTACATTGGAACAAAATTAGGGGATGAGAGCTTTAGAATTTTTAACCTGAAATTTTACTTGCAAATAAGAACCACTCAAATGATCACTGACAGTTAGAAAGTAGAACAGTGGATTCATTCCAAAATATATCCATGAAATGTTATTCTGTGAGTGGTTCTTATGTTAAGAGCTTTAAGTTGTTTTAACTGCAAGTTACTGTAAAATGTCACCATACAACAGTGTTACCACATTCAGTTTCTCATGATGAATTTGAATTGTAGTATGCATTAAATGTAAATTTATTGGAGATCCTGTATGTTTTTTAAGTGGTATGTTTGAATTGTGAAATAAAGTTCGAAATAGATCCAAATATAAAAGATAAAAGTGTAATCCTTGTTAAAATTACACCTAAATGGATTACAAATATGCTGAAAAACTTTAAAATGTTGATTGATATGGTGAACTGTTTAATTTTTATTCTATATCTATATTGGTATGAGAAGTACAATTAGTTGAGTTAGAAATTAACCAGCTAGCTTAGAGTGTAATTTGCAAAAATTGAGTTATTTTTAATGTTTATATTTAAATTTCCATATTAGTTAATAAGAAAATTAAAAAATGACATCACTGAAGTCATGATACATACAAGCACAAACATGAAACAGTAGAATTTAGAGTAAGGCATTTTACTTAATAATAATTAAAAATTAAAGTATTGTTCTTCTTATTTGAAAATTAATTCCAAAACGTACATGCCTCCACTGACACTTATAGCTATTTCTTGATCTTCATCTTTGCCATCTAGACATATTGTTCGCTTGCTCCAGTCTTTATATCCCACTCGACTGCCTTCAGCAGTATCTAATTTGCAAAACTTTACACCGGCCCTCACATGCCCTCTATGCAGGTACTGTATATAAGCACTGTATGTCGACAGTATAATAATTTTTTTCTCGACAAAGCTCTTGTGCTAAGAGTTATGTTTTGTGGTTAACATTTTCTTATGAAGCATTTTGACAGTAATCTGATGTTGATGTTTTTTCCAATTCCTGATATTATGTTGGTTTTCTTTTGCAATTTAAAAAAACAAAATAAAATAAAAATGCGGGTATGGATTCCTATGTAATGGTATCTGGCACCGGGGTTAACCAGACCATGTCCAATCCTCCTTTGTTTTCTGGTGGTAGTCGGCAGTTGGGGTGGGTGGTCCACTCTTGGTGGAGGCTGTCCGTAACCTGATTCAGAATGGTGCCAGTGGCATCGGTGTCTACCCATTCAGAAGGTCTCTCCCGTCTTTTTGTGGTGACCAAGAACACTAGAAATTGGCATCTTCTCATCAGTCAGTCTCGACTCGATCTCTTCCTACAGCCTCGTTTCATCATGGAATTTTTTCTTCAACTTCAATGGCACTTTACACCTGATCTTTGGATGACCAAGTTTGATGTTACAGATGCCTACCTTCACATCCCCATAGCACAGTCTTTTCTTCTATTTCTACATTTTTTGCACGAGGACCAGATGTAGCAGGTCCAAGCTCTCCCATTTGGACTTGCTTCAGCACCATGTGTTTTCTGCCGAGTAGTACGGCATTTGAGCAGCATCTTCATTTTATGGGTCTGTGCACACATTGTTATTTGGAAGATTGACTTCTTTTGGCACCAACCTGTCACATTGCTGCACTACATCTACAGATTCTCCTTTCCAATGCCAGAAGGGCACACTTTATATCACGTTGGAAAAATCCATTCTCTCAACTTTCTCCCCTCGGACTTCACATTAGGGAAGGGATTGTCAGGCATTTGCTTATATCACCTTCTCCCACTGCATGGATAGTTCTGTCTGTTTTGGGGACTTGGGCTTCCATAGAATCCCTCATACCATTGGATCAGGCCATATGAGATCCCTTCAGTGATCATTTCATGGCAAGTGGCTCATGCATTCTGATCCTTTGGATCACACAGTCTCTTTGCTTGAACAATTTACAGATCTCAAGTGGTGACTAGACAGGAACAACACAAATATCAGGGTCTGGATGCCACCTCCTTGTGTGGAAATTCATCTCTTCATGGATGGGATACTTTTCTTCTGGGGTAGGCATTCCGGGGGTATTTGGACTGACTACGAATCTACCCTGCATATCAATGTTCTTGAACTTCTTGCAGTATATCTAGCGATGATTCCAGGTCTTCCTCTCTTGCATGACAAAATGGTCATGATTTATTCTGACTACTCCACAGTGGTTTCATATCTTTCTCATCAGGGAAGTTCTCATTCTTGAGGTCTTGGTTTTCGGGCTTTGGATCATCTTTTTCGTCTCGTTTCAATGACATCCATCTTTTAGCCTGTCATGTGCTAAGGGTTATGATTTTGATAGCAGATCACCTTTCTCGACCCCATCAGATTCTTCCACCAGCCTGGATGTTTCATCAGGTGGTCTTTCAATGGATTTGTTCTCAGTTTGGCTCTCCAATAATTGACACCTTTGCAACCCATTGGAATGCTAGCCTACAGTTCTAGTCTCCAATTTCACATCCACAAGCTCTGGTGATAGATGCTTTCAGTCAAGACTGGACAGGATTCCATTTGTATGTCTTTCCTTCTATTCATCTCTTACCCAGACTCTTGTCTATGATTCATTTCACCCGATGTTGGGTTCTCTTGTCAGCACCTTTTTGGCCTGCTCAGACATGGTTTTCTCTTCTTCAGTTGCTCCAGGAATGTTTACCACTACCTCTTCATTCATCTTTGTTGAGACAACCTTCAACACCTGGAGGTTTAACGACTCCAGCTTCATGCATGGAAGTTATGCAGTCCTTGCTTGACCATAGGGGTTTAAATTCTACAGTTTCCATTTATTTGACTATATTCTTCATCAACCTACTATAGCAGTCTATCAATGAAAATGGACTACATATTGTCAGTGGTGTCTTCGGTGAACCTTCAACCCACTTCATCCAACAGTTTCCATAGTTTCAAGTTTTTTGTCATGGATTTTTGAAAGGTTTGGCTTCTACCTTGCATTATATACAACATCCTTCACTGCTTCCTTTTGCTCTTCTACGTATATAAAGGTTTTTGATTCATGTGCTATCTCGTTTTATGATTCTTCCATATTCTTCATCCCAAAAAAACATTTCAATTGCCTAATTGGAACTTTAGAGTTGTTTTTTCATGCATTATCATTTTATCCCTTCATACCTATGGCCTCCTGTTCTTTGTATCACCTTTCCTTCAAGATATATTTCTATTGTTAGCTTCTGGACGCAGCTGTTCTGATTTATTTGCTATCCCTGTTGAGCAGACTCTATCTTTCCACCTATTTTTGCTCTATCCAGACAGATCCTTCCTACTGAACACTCACTGCCAGAGAAGGGAATAAATTATTTTTTCGTATTCTTTTTCCAGGCATTTCACATCTTTAGAATCTATCATACCCAGATCGTTTGTGTCCAGTCAGAGCACTTAGATGCTCTGTGGCTTGTACGGAACTGTTCAGAGGCCCTATGCACTGGTTTTATATTTAGTGGGATCCTGCAGTGTCCCTGGATTTATCACTCATTGCATTAACCAGGGGACTTTGGGAGTTGATTCCTATAGTCTATTCTGGGTTATCTGTTGTAGATCGGGATATACTCTACACTAATTCTCACCTGAATTGGCATTTATCAATATCATTGTCTGCCCGTCTAAATTGTTCTCTGGGGGATATTTTGCAAGCCAGTATGTGGATTTCTCCCAACAGTTTTCTTTTCTAGGGTATTTTCTTCTTGTATTTTTTTCAATTCTGCACTAGCAACCTTTATATCGGTTCATGGTTGCAACAGGCTCTGTCAAGCTGAGGTGTTCCACAAGACCATCTAGACAAAATTCTGGATGGTAGTGTTATCTCACAATACATATCCAATGGACCGCTACTCATGTACTATCATGAGTAATACTAAAGGGGATTTTGCCAGTCCCTGCTGATCTTAGAGCTGAATCAGTCGAAATCGGTTTGCTTTTAAAACTTGGGGAATGTGGTTCACATGTTGCACTGGCTCCGGAGACCTCTTCCTCAAGACTCACCACCGCACACATGTCCCCCTACTGCATCTAGTGGAGCTAGGGAGTCCTTACCACACCCAGTTCTCAGTCACTGGGGTGGTGGACAGAGGATTTTCCTTTGGAGTGTTGAGTTTTCTCCACTCTCAGAGAAGAAAGCAAAGTTGGAGACCCTCTTACCTGGGTCCCTGGAAGTTTTCCCCAGATGTCGGTAGGAGCCTGCTCATAAAACTGCTCCAGATTTGATGCTATCTGGTGGGGGTGTGCTTTGACCCTCTTATGAACACTGTCAGGTCTTAGGTTATTTATGCAGGGGGTCCACTATTGCCTCGTAAATCTGAATGCAATGAGGTCCCATCTTAGTTTATTTGTAGATAGTATTAAGTACAGTATTATTTAGTCCTAACTAAGCTAATGTAAAAAATGTACACTGTAAGTGTTAATTCATCACTCTGTCGAACTTAGGCCTAACATTAGTTAAAGTTTTATAAAGTACAACCTTAAATACAAGTAGACTTACATATTTTGGTGTCTGTGATTACATTTCGTTTGTATTATTTTACAAATCTTGTATTTAAAGAAATACTGTTGCAATATGATACTAATTTGACAGCAAATGTTTTGCAGGTCTCTGCTACTTTATATTAATAACTTGACATTTAGAACATTTAACTTTTGAAAATCTGTTTTAACCCTTTCGAGATGGGTCACAGGTGAAAGGCCATGTCATCTCGTTTGTTGACTCACATTTAAAATTTTATTGAACTACTGTTTCATGAATTTATGTTAATAAGTTTGGTATCAAACTGTAGATTATAAATCAAATTTTAGAACTATATATTACTCAGTTTGTCAATCTAAAAGTAAATATTAAAAAAACACAAACACTGATTTTTATGTGTCACATGGTATGTTTAATGCAGTACTAGTTCAAATTAGATGCTTGTGAAGTCAAAATACTAAGTCTATAGTTACATACGAATTAGAAACTCAAATTACAGATATTGACAAGCTGGAATATAAAATAAGAAGGTCTTATCTTTTCTATTTGCTCACTTAATAAACCAAAGACAGTTGCACCCTGCTCACATCTTCCATTTTTGGAAACGCTCCCTTATATACAATTACTTTTTTATATATGACATGAATAATCAATCAGAAGCTTAGAATGTCTCCCTAGTGGTTTTCTCAGCCTTTTTAATGCATCTAGCACCATTTCTTTTGAAGTAAGGTTTCAATGATGTAGGTTGTGTCTTTAGTCTGCTCGAAATTTCATACTTTTTTTACAGCTTAGTTACTAAGTTTGATAAATTATAGTAGAATTCTATGGTATTGATGTAGTAATTTATGATTTTTTAGTTATTCAAATGTATATATATAAAACCTAAAAAAAATATTTTGTTTCATATCCTCCACGTGCAAAATTTTTAAAGGGTTAGCAACCTACGTGAAGCAGTAACCAAGTACAAATGTCATAACTAGAAGAGATAATTTTTTTACTTCTTTATTTACTGTTCTATGTTTTAGAAATTTAACTAAGAACTTGTTTCAAAATATCAATAATCTATATACATATATAATGTATAATAATTGAAATGTGACTGTATTTTACAAAATAGTAGTTGACTAAAACATGGCCAAGACAAGTTACTTTGTACAGACCAAAGGTCACCTTTATATTATCTGATATGGTAACATGAGTGTACATGTAACTTCTGGCTGAAATGTCAATATAATAAAACTAATAAATATATATAAATGTATAATGTTATGAGATTTAAGCTATTTCGTCTAAACATTTATGTTTTTGTGTTATAATTTGTGTTCATTCTAGAATGAAAGAGGCATAATTTATGTTTTTTCCAAATTTTTTATGGTGGTTGTGAGATATGTCAAATCTACTGAATCCGTGCATAGATTAATTACTGAAAATAACATAAAATATAAAGCTTTTTACTTAAGAATGTTTGATAACTATCCAGATATTATAAAG